GGCTTTAAACTGAAAGAGGGCAGATTTCAATTAGATAGAAGGAAGAAATTCTTCCCTCTGAAGGTGGCGAGGCACTGGAACCAGAGGTTGCCCAGAGAATTTGTGGATGCCCCATCCCTGGAAGTGTTCAAGGCCAGATTGGGTGAGGCTTTGAGCAACCTGGTCTAGTGGCAGGTGTCCTTGCCAATGGCGGGGGGGGGTTGGAGCTAGGTGATCTTTAAGGTCCTGTCCAACCCAAACCATTCTGTGATCTCCAAGGATGAGTGAAATGGCTGTTGGGAGGTCAAAGCTGTCTGGTCAAGAACAAGCACGAGAAAGCCAGGCAAGCTGGCAGAAAATAAGGAAATTGCTGATAGTTGAAGTGATAAAATTCTGTGAGTCAGCTTGAGCCCGTCAGTCTTCCTGATAAAATGCAAATCCAGGTCAAGCTGATGAGTTATGTTTGGTATCTTGCATGCCAGCAGCCCCATTATGGAGGAAGGTCAGTGGATGGCTCTTGGCCAGCTGAGTGGCTGAGTCTCGGGTAGAGAATAGGAGCTGGTTTTCCACAGAAGTGAAGATCATCTGATCAAAAGTAGGCATCTCCATCACCTAGACTCCTTCCTCTCCGAGGGAAGAGAGAAGCATTTCTGGACGTGTTTTTTTTTTAAGCCTAAATAGACATTCTGAACAGACCAGAAGAAATAACAGCCCCAAAGTGCTGTTTCTGTCCATGAGCTGTCAAATGCCATTGTTTTCAATGGGTATCGTGATAACTGAAAGTTTCCCTGGATTCCAGGAGAGCCTGGGTAAGTTTGTGGAGTCCAGCACCCCTTACCGAACATGCACGACTCTTCTGGCTTAGCAAATCATCTGAGTTGGTGACAGATGGAGGCTGGAAGACTTCCAGGAAGAAGTATTGTGCGTGCTTGCCCTGTTCTTACTCATTCATCTGCATAGGGTTGTGGTGAAGGGATGCAGAACTAGGCACAGCTTTGTTCTGAAGCTCTTAGAAGAATGAAAGGATTGTTTTCCAGCTGATACTCTGGATAGAAAACATCCCATGGGAGCTCAGAATCGCATACATCAACGGAAACGTGAGAGCTACACAACTTACAGCTGATACAAGAATCATAGGATCTTTTAGGCTGGAAAACACCTTTAAGATCATCGAGTCCAACCATAAACCTAACACTGCCAGGTCCATCACTAAACCATGGCCCTACATGGGGGACATGTACATGTCTTTTAAATACTTCCAGGGATGGTGACTCAACCACTTCCCTGGGCAGCCTTAATTTCCTTGCTTCACATTGCAGAGAATCCTCATGATTGCTTGAGTTCATCAAGTGTAAATTTAAAACCAATGTCTGGTGGCCAGTGTAGATATGGAGAAGACTGCGATACTCTAGGAAGCAGAGCGACAGCCTCCTTGGCTGCTTTTCCCCAGCAGGAAACTTCAGCAAAAGGTTCAGAATAAAATTTAGACCTTTTCAGGATCAGTGCAGAAGGACTTCCCTACAGACCATTGAGCCCTCTGGACCTGAGTCCCAGGCCTGGGTGCCACATCTGCCCTGAAACTCTTCCTCACCACGGCCACCATGGCTCAGGCACCATGGGTAGGATCAGGCCTGGCTCATGTTGGCCAGGGGCAGGTAAATTGGATTTGGACCTACCGATGCCACCGAAGGGCAGCGAGGTCAACGTCACATGCATCAGGGTGTCGTTGCCGCAGAAGCCACCACTGCTTGTCTGCTCCAGGACCTGGTTCACCACCTGGGAGGGAAGCAGAGCAGGGGATGTGGGTCTTGCACCCTGTCCCGCACCTCCAGCTGCAATCCTTCCCCCATAACCAGGGCTGTCTGCTCTAAAGAACATTTTTGGAGCATGAACACAGCTGAATATGCCTGCCAAGGAGCACGGAACAAGCATAGCCCTGGCTTCACACAGCCTGTACGCTATACCTTGTTGTTGGAGGAGAAGGCATACACAACCAGCGGCCGCTCACGGCTATTGATAAAGTCAATGGCTTCATCCATGTTGGCCACAGTGACAATGGGCAGGATGGGCCCGAAGATCTCCTCCTGCATGATAGGATCAGAGGGCTGCAAGTCCACAAGCACCGTGGGAGCTGCAAAGAAAGAAACCCAAAGGCATCAGCCATGCAGAGAGGTTGTAGATGGTGCCTTGGTCCTCTCCCCAAGATCCATGCCTCATTTAAGATAGGACACCTTGCCAAGCTTCCCGGTTCCTGTGCAAACCTTCCCTAAACGTCACCTTCATTTAGAACCTCCCCTCCAGTTGCAAGACCCTCTCCTAAATCCAAGTCCACTCTTATGCATGGATGAAGATTTATGTGAAATTCAAGCCCTCACCAATGTAGCGCTCCTTTTCATCCGTCTGTCCTCCGATGACCACCCGCCCACTGCGCAGAAGCGTCTGTACCCGCTGGAACTGCTTGTCCCCCACGATGCGGCCGAAGTCGGGGGATTCCTGAGGGTTGGGGCCATAAAAATCAGTGATGGCCTTACGCAGAGCGGGCAGCAGCTTCTCCCGCATTTCTGCGCTGCACAGCACGTAGTCGGGTGCGATGCAGGTCTGCCCTGTGTTGAAGAAGCGGCCCCAGGCCACCCGCTGAGCCACGTTCTGCACGTCACAGGTGTCAGACACGTAGCAGGGGTTCTTGCCCCCCAGCTCCAGCGTCACAGGTGTCAGATGTTTGGCAGCGGCAGTCATCACGATCCTCCCCACGGAGGGGCTGCCTGAGAGCCAGGAAAAGATTACATCACGGTGAGGATCCCACCATGCTATAGCCCAACCCATGGCCTTAGCCTTATGAGGAGCCAAGGCCAGGGCAGACGTGTCAAGTCCCACTCCTGTCCTGCACCCACCTTGGTGTGCAGCACGCAGCTGAGCCCTCACCTCCAGCTCAACCATGGCATCCCCAGCTCAGCTATTACAAAACCCAGTTATGGCCACTAGATCCTCAGACACGTTGGTGGCAGATCCTCTACCGGATCCCCAACACAACCAACCATGCTCTTCACATTGATGGGCAGGGTAAGCCTCAGTGGGAACCCTCATCCCACTTTGCACAAGAAACCAGCTCAGCTCTGGCCCTCAAGATGTACCAGTGTAGAAGATGTAGTCAAACTTGTTCTCCAGCAGTCTCGTGGTCTCCTCCACGCCAGCAGTCACCACGGCAAAGCAGTCCTGCAACATAAGAGGAAGGATCCACCTCTGTCAGCATGTACCCAGGCCACTCTGTCCCTGTCCCCACCAACAGCATCCCCGGGTTGCTGGGTGTGTGGACACCAGCTGAGTGTGGAGGAAGGAGGTATGATAACGTCTGAGACGAGCAATGGTGTGGTGCTGGTGTGTGCAAGGCAGGCACAGTGCCGGGAGGGCACAGGGCACAGCTTGGTGTGTGCAGGGGGTGGGAACACCCTAACAATGAGACGAGGACAGAGAGAGCATCTTGCCTTGTCCAGGTAGCTGGGCAGTGTTTCAGCCACAAGTCTCTCAATGTTCTTGGTCATCTCCGAGGGTTTGACAATGACACAGTTACCTGGGGGGGAGAGAAACGGGACGTCAGAGCAGTGACATGGTGACAGTCAGCCCTTTTGGCACGCCAGCCTGGGGACAAGGTGCCCTTGCTGGTGCCCAGCACTGCCTGGATCCTCCAGGCCAGAGGACAGGTTTGGCTCACCGGCAGCAATGGCCCCAATGAGGGGCCCCAGAAGGAGGTTGATGGGGTAGTTCCAGGGCCCGATGATGAGCACTACCCCATACGGGTCTTTGCGGATGAAAGCTGAGTCCAGCCGGGTCACCTGCGGGACACCCACTGTGTCAGGAGTGCTTTCTTGCACCACCATCTCCATGTTCCTATCCCACCCATCTCTGCCCGGCAGGTGCATCATTCCTTCCATCCTCTCGCCATCTTCCACCTTACCAGGTTCTTGTCCACGTGCTCGTCCTTCATCCAGCGGGACAGGTTGTTCAGCGTCTCGTGGAGCTCATTCTTGCAGAGGAGGATCTCGCAGAATTCGGCTTCAAAGGGCGGCTGGGGACAGAGACCACCCTACGCATCAGCTCCACACATCCCGCAGCGCAGCAGCGCCTCTAATCCTTACCCTGAATGGCTTTTTGATCCAGGATTTGGGCACCCAAGCCCTTCATGTCCTGTGCTGGATGCCCACTTTGCTCTCCCCCTGAACTGCCCAGTACAGCCCACCACAGGGAGGGGGTGAGCCCCACCACGTCTGTGCTCCGAAATCCCACTGTGATCTTGCCGGGCCAGTCCTGTCGGCAGTAACCTACCTGTGACTGGGCTTCCCCTGCTGGGAGCTCGGTTGAAGTTTGGGAGAATTTAGTATTTGGGGAGGAGAGGGGTCTGTGAGGGCAGTGGTGGTGTTTTGGGGGAAGAAAGGGCTGGTCTGGCTATTGAATCCCATTTGCTCTGGAGACAAGAGCATCCCAAGTCACAACTCCTTTTTCTATCACCCGCGTTTTCACACCCAAACAAAACAAGTTGATAGGCTCCAGCAGGATGGGCTATTTTTTCAGGACCTGCCAGAGAGAAGCTCAGGTGAGTCTTCAAGGATTTCACCTAATAAATAAAAGCTCAGAAGAGATCCAGGTGCAAATCCCGCCACCACCCCCCTTCACCTGGCTGTGACTTTCCCACCATGGACGTGTCATCGGCATGGGAACAGCACCAGCGCTGATGTCTGGCTCTGCCAGCAGCTCCTCCCCTTCAATCAACTGGGGACCCCTCAACATTTGTCCTACAGCTGGGTTTCTTCTCTCCCTGGGGGTACAGTGGATGGGGACT